GGGGGCGTAAGTTGCCCCCCCCCCCCTCTTAAATTGACCCTACTGAGTTCAATGGTATAGTCAATTTCACCAAATTCAGCCTCCAACTGTATGGATTGAAACCGCCCGCCAACTTCGACATAATCCGGCGGCTCGGATTGCGATTCTCCGGCTATGGAATCTGAAAATTAGTTGAGGGCTTTTTGTCACCCACTTCTTTCTGAGTGTTTTGACACCAAAATCATGTCAATCCAATGGTTGAATTATCGGAACCACCATCCACCCCAACGGCGGCGGCAGCGAGCTCCGATCTCCTGCAAACGGCGGCGGATTCAGGCGGCTGAGGGTTGCTTTATGCTCTGCGTCGTCCTTTGAGTCCAACGGTTCCGGTGGTGTCATCAACGAAGGCTGGAATAGTGCACAACGGAGAGGAGTCGCGGCTGCCAAAATGGGTGGCTCCGGCGACAGCGCTTCGGTGAGAATCGACTGGTTAGACGGCATGGCTTTTGTTCGTCTCGTCGAGCTGAGTCCATCGGGACCAGAATCACTCCGATTGGAGGTTGGATGGCAAAGTTACGATGGTGAGAAATTTCAATAGTTTTTAGACATTTCGCCGGCGATTGTGGCTGTTTCCGGCGGAGATGGAGGTCATGCGGCATGTCAACGAGTCCAGCTCGTCGAGAGCTTTCCGAGGGCAGTGTCGCGAAACGGCACTGGAATCTCATCGGTGGTAGGTGGCCGGCGTGGAGAGAGAGAGAGTCAACGTGGGAGAGAGAGAGAAAGAGAGAAAAATGAGGGAAATAGAAAGAAAAAAAAAGGAAAAAAGAAAAATAAGCTTAGAATTTTTTAGTAAATTTAATAATAAGACTTCAAAGTCCAATTTAAATAAAGTATGAAATGACTTATTATTCATGTTCTGAAAAATTAGTTATCAACGCTTAAAACTGTTTGAGAGACATCAGTGTTAATTTCAAAACAATCATTTTTAAAGAAAAAGGTCATTTATGTGATATTTATAACTAAAATTCTTTTATTAATATTAGATTAATTAATACTAACCACCGAATTTGATTAATTAATCTCAATTAATTTAACGGATGTTAAATAGTAAAAAGAGTACTTTTGAGGAGAAAAAAAGTTGCCTTCTACTTCAATTTTTTGTTTTTTGTTTTTGTTTTAACAGGTAAATTGTTTTCCAGATCAAATACAGAGTCTAATGATCTCAGAATACAAGACAAGTTAGTCCAAACCATAAACCAGTTTCACTAACAAATTCTAATAAATACATAAAATGATCAAATGTCCACCGGATTACAATGGGAAAATGAAAAGGTGACTTTTTCAAAGACACCTAAACTACAAAGGTCACCGCCAGTATCGCAGAGAAAGAACTGTCGCAGATGGGATACACAACTTAGTCAGTCCTCATAGTTCATTTTCTTTGCAACTATTAACCTCAATTTTGCCTTCTACTTTTTGATGAGATTTTAATCTAGCTACCATATTTAATAGAAGAGTACTAGTAATGGAGGCGGCGGGTTGGGAAAAATCATTGAGGAACGTCCAACCTCAGAAGCTCTGGGAATAATATTAATGCATTGGATGAATTAGGGTTTGAAACCAAGGAAGTAAGGAGCACCGGTGTATCTCAGCCAGAGATTGCCTTGTATGAAGGGGCCAGGCGTGAAGTGAAGAGCCTCGTTTCTGTCAGTGATGACTTTGTATCCTCTCCATTTCACTCTCTTGTCTGTGCCTGCGCCTGGCCCTCTGTTGGCGTACTCCCTGTAATACAGCGTGTCCAGCGCAAAGTTTCCGTTCCACTCCATCCACCCGACCGGCTGTATCAAGTCTCCCATCGTCGTTTCCATTATCACCGTCCTCGAGTACTGCTTCCACGGCCTTCCCAAGTATGTCGGGTACTTGAATCTCTCCGTGAACAACTTCTCCTCCGGGACGATCCTGCAGTTCTGGATTACAATGCCCGTCGTCTCGCGCTTGTCCGCTCTTCCTTGAGCCGTCACCGCGTTCTTTTGTCCCTCCCCGGGCTTCCTCACTATGATGAGACAGTTCTGGATGATGGCAGATGCGTCCCCGAATATGAAGTCCACGGTGCCGGAGATGACGCAGTTGCGATAGAACTGGCGGTGGGCTTGGACGTACAAAGTGTCTTGGTAGCCGTCATTCTGCAGTTGTATAAGGCCGCCATGTCCGACTGTACTCGCACCGCCACCGCCTGGTGTCCCTCCGCTCCTGCCGTGTTCTGGAATCCTATTGACTTGGCGATGAATCCGTTTCCTACTGCAGCTGCATTTACACACACACACGTACATATGAATAAATCATGTTTAAAAGAGAATTATGTGATAAGATTAAAAGAAAAATACACATTAGGTCCTGTATAGTTCTAAATTATCAGCCCGATCATTTTAAAATTTAGTGTTGCAACTAAAAAAATATACAAATTTAATAGAATTTGAAAAAAAAAAAAAAAGATTTTTAAAACTGCGCAGTGTGCATGCATGTAACTTTCTTACCCGCCCCTACTCCAGATGTAGGATTATACAAAGCATAATGTGTGTAATAGAACTCCCTAACAAACACAAATAAATTGATCACGATACGGCAATTATATATAAATGATTGAACGTATCATTAAAAGCAAGAGATAGTAATAATTAAAGTAATTTGTCTGTTATGATATATATATATATATAGATATATATTGGAAACACTAATATTATAACTTCTGTGCTTGTGCATTTTTCCCCAAAAAAAAAAAAAGAGTACTTATATAGATAAGTTGATTATCATATCATATAGATTGTATTCATTTTATATTCATTATACGAACTCTCATCTCTCTATTCACTTAAAAAGAAAAATTAAATTACCTATAATTCATTTAAAACAACCAAAAAAAAAAAAAAGATTCTTGAAATGGAAACTCACAGAACGTGGCAGTCTTGAAGGTGGAGACCCCATCTCGGAAGTTCTTTCTACCGGTGACGATGGTCTTCCGAGGTCCATCCCCGTATATAAACACATTCACCTGATTCTTCGTCACCGTAATATACTCATCGTATACCCCGGCCTTTACGTATATCACGTACCTTCCCTTGAGATCCTTGGGATACGCTGCCAATGCCTCTCCGATGCTTTTATACTGTCCGCTGCCGTCCTTGGCCACCACCGCATTCGGTGCCAGGTTACCGCCCCCTCGGCTCCCTAACAGCTTCCTATCTGCGGCTGAAAACCACGACGGGTACACCTTGTCATCTTCCTCTGCCTCGAGAAGGCGGCGAGAGAAAGCTGAGCTAGAGTTGAAATGGAAAGGGATCTTGAAGGCGCCTAAGATGTCAGAGAAGGCGGAAACAATGGCCAGGGCGTTGCTTGTAAGCTCGCCAGCATTGACGAGCCCGTCCGACATCTCCTTCTTGGTATCCGGATCGGTTATTCCGTCGAGACATGTCTGCTGATACGACACGACGGCGCTCAGCCAATTCATGAGCTCGGCCTCCTCGTCATGCACTGCGTGCAGGTCACCATCGCCGACCACTGAGAATGAGTCCTTGAGCTCGTCCACCGCGAACTGCATCAAGTCCTTGCAGTCTTCAAGGGACATTTTTTAGGAGGGATTGGTGGAGGAGGAATTTCCGAGATAAGCAGACTTGTGCATGGCGGCTTCGACGTGTCGGATTGTGGAATTAATGGCGGCTTTAATGAGGTCCTTGGGAGAGGCAGTGTCGTTTTTGGCGAGGCCGCCGAGGCTGTCTATGCAGGCCTGCTTGTAATCGGTCGGCCTGCAGATAGCGGCGACGGCCTTGGAGGAAGTTGAGAGCTCATCTTTTTCGGAGGAAGCAGAATTACCGCCGTTGCTGTTGTGGTTGAGGCCGGCTATTAGGGCAATGACTACTCCAACCACAAGAACGATTGAAACTCCTACCACAGTTACTCTGCCACCGCTCATCTTTAACTCTTAACTTTTGTTTTAAATAAATGATTCTAGTACAGAGGGCTTAGCTCTAATTAATTGGAGGTTTTTTTTTTTTTTTTTTTTTTTTTATAGCATTAAGATTGATGCAGGGGGTGACTAAATTTAGGGAAAGTGTGGCTTGTGGTTAAGAAGGAATTAAGGTTATAATTAATGTTGAAAATAGATGCATGGTCGTTAATATTTTTACAATCCTTAATTATTTCTATCCAACAATTCTCCGCAATGAAATCCTGGACTACATATAATTGACTCAACGCACGCCTTGCCTCTGTCTATTTTTGTACCATATGCATATGCACTAATACTACAATGGATGTAAAGAAAGAATGAATTTCTTGTTATGTTTTTATTGAAAGAGAAGCGAATATATACACCATACAGACATCAATTTAGATCCTAGAATAAAGCATATACACTGTCATTGTCTATTCACACTAATACATAAATGTAAACAAATCAATTGGAATTGATGATAGTTGACCGAGATGATTGGAAGATCCCTGACTTTGTGCATTGATTGACTTTTCATTCCTTAACACTCCTCCTCAAGTTTGGAATGTATGTTGATAATTCCTAACTTGGCAAGTAAAGTCGAAAATTGTGAAGAACTCAATGGCTTCGTAAAAATGTCGGCTGGCTGGTGTGATGTGGATATGTGAGTCATTTTGACCATTCCTTCTTGAACCTTCTCCTGTATAAGATGACAATCAATTTCTATATGTTTTGTTCGCTCGTGAAAAACTGGATTTGAAGCAATATGCAGTGCCGCTTGATTGTCACAATATAGATTGGTAGGATGTGAGTGTTGGATGCCCAAGTCATGTAGGATGTACTTTAACCAGGTAATCTCACAACAAGTTGCAGCCATGGATCGATATTCAGATTCTGCACTAGATCGCGATACTGTAGTTTGCTTCTTGGTTTTCCAGGAAATTAATGAATTTCCAAGAAATATACAATATCCTGTAACAGATCGTCGTGTATCTCGACATCTGGCCCAATCTTTATCACAAAAGGCGTTTAATTGAATTGAACTATCTGTAGGAAGAAAAATTCCTTGACCTGGTGTTTGCTTCACATAGCGCAATACACGATGAGCTGCTTCTAAATGTGGAACTCGTGGTTTGTCCATAAATTGACTTAGTACATGGACTGCATATGAAAAGTCAGGTCGTGTGATAGTTAAATAAATTAGTCGTCCAACAAGCCTTCGATATGAAGAAGGATCACTAATATAGTCACCATCAAACTCACTGAGAGATAAGTTTTGCTCCATTGGAAAAGAGACTGGTTTCGCCGCTAGATATCCAATATCTTCGAGAATTTCGAGAGCATACTTTCGTTGTGAAAGAGCAATGCCTTTGTTGGATCGTGCAACTTCTATTCCTAGAAAATACTTCAACTGCCCAAGGTCCTTCAATTTAAATTGATCCATCAAATATGACTTGGTATCTTCAATGTCTTGTAGATTATTTCCAGCTAGGATGACATCGTCTACATAAATGAG